AACTATTTTAAAATTGAAAATAATTTTAAAGAATGGAAAGAGTAGGTACCCTTGATCAAAATTTTAGAACAAAAACTATCAGTTTTTCCTTAGTTAATGTAATGTTGATTATATGTTTATCAAATATAGTCTTTACTATGTTGATGTATGTACCTGCTACTACTAATTTCTTCAGGATTTTTTTATGAATTTTTGTCAATATTTATTAAACTTTAACAATTGACTTTTGTACATTCACTGTTGTGATCTTGTGTTTTCTTTCAAGTCTACTCATGTGCTGAGTTACTCTTCCCAGTGTACGTGTGTTGTACCAATCTTACATCCTTGGAATGGAACCAACTTGATCAACACACATGATCTTAATGTATTCTTGAATCCAGTTTGATAGAACTTTATTGAGAGTTTTTGTACCTATATTCATCAGTGATCTTGGTCTACATTCTGTTCTCAGTTCCAATCTGCTGTTGACATCATGATGATGCTGGCTTTATTGAAGGTGTTTGGTAATGTTCTTTCCCTTTTTATTTTATGGAAGAGCTTGAGGAGCCTTAAGTAATAGCTCTTAAAGGCTTGTAGAATTTGACATTGAATGCATTTAGACATGGAGTTTTCATTGTTGGAAAGTCTTTTTTTTCAATTGCTGCTTTAATCTCAGTGGTGATTATGGATCTGTTTAAGTGGTTTATATTTTGTTTAATTTTGGCAAGTCATCTATATCTAGGAATTTAACCATTTCTTCTAAATTTTCTAGTTTCTTGGAATATGAGTTTCAAACTACTCCTTAATGATAACCTGTATTTTATTTCTATATGTAGTAATTTATCTTTTTTTCATTTCTAATTTTGTTAACCTGTGTCATCTCTCATTTTCCCCATTTATTTATTTATTTGTGTGAGTGTGTGTCCCTATATTGGTGTGCTACTGTGGAGGTCTGAGGACAACTTAGGGGGTCATACTCTCATTCACTCTCTGAGGATCGAACTCGAGTTGTCAGGCTTGGAAGCAAGCGCCTTTACCTACTGGGCCATCTTGCTAGCTCACAGCATTTTCTTTTGGTTAGTTTGGCTAAGAATTTGTTAATTTGTTTATTTTTTTCAAAGAGCCGATTTTGTAAGTTTCTTTTAAACTACTTACAAAATGACTAGTTTATGCCATGATCTTTATTCTTTCCTGTCATCTGCTGCTTTTAAGTTAGATTGTTCTTGGTTTTCCAGGACATTGAGGTACATCATTAGGTTATTTATTCCAGCTATTTTAAATTGTTTCGTGTAAACATTCATTTTAAACATCCCTCTTAGAACTGCCTTAGCTGTATCCCAAAGGCTCTAGTAAGCTGTGCATTCATTTTCACTTCTGCATTAGCTACTTTTCTTTTCCTGTAATAAAACATCAGGTCCAGAGGCAACTTAGAGAAGGAAGAGTTTATTTTGGATTATAGTTCTAAAGGGAGAGCCCACAATGGCTATGAGGAATGGCAGCAGGTAAGTAGAACAGGAAGCTGAGAAATCTCATCTTCAACTATAACTAGAAGCAGAAAGTGAACTGCAAGTGGGAAGACACTTTAAGTTTCCAAGCCTGCCCTCTAGGAGGTTGTACCACCTCCCCTAGAACCTCTGAAAGGGGTACCAAGTGTGCAAATGCCCTAGCTTAGGGGGACCTTTATTATTCAAACCACCACAATTCAATTCAAGGAACTTTTCATTTCTTCTCTAGTTTCTCCAGTGACTCATTCGTCATTCCAACATGTACAGTTTAATCTCCATATATTTCTGTATTTTTTTTATTGATTTTTAGTTTTGTTTCACTATAATCTGATAAGATACAAGAACTTATTTTGATTCTTTTGCGTTTGGTAAGACTTAATTTGTGTCCTGGAATGTGGTCTATTTCAGAGAAGGTTCAGTGGCCTGCTAAGAAGAATGTGTGTTCATTTTCTCTAGGGTGGACTATTTTCTATATACCTATTAAGTCTGCTTGATTTTTGATGTAATTTGACTTTAACTGTGCTACTTTTTAGTTTGGATGAGATATATATAGGGAGATTGAAATCACTCACTCCTCCTGTAGCAGGACCTAGCTGACATTTTATGCCCATTATAGCAGCCTCAATGTTTCATGTATGCATATGTACAATTATTTGATCTTCCTTATATATTTTCCCTTTTACTAGTATGTTGTGGTCTTCTTTATTTCTGCTGGATAAATTTGGCTCAAAATCTACTTTATCGGATACTAGAATAGATATGCCAACTTGTTTTCAGTTTCTGTTTGCTGGGTAATTATCGTTTTCTGACTCTCAGCCTGTGGGTATCCTTACCAATAAAGTATTTTTCTGGAGACAACAGAAAGTTGGATCTAGTTTTTTTAAATCAGATAGCTCATGTCCTTTTACTGGTGAATTGGAGTCATTTACACTTAAGGTTATTATAGACACATGTTTACTAATTGCCATAATTTTGTTGGTTATTTTTCTGGTTGGTTGGATAATTGTTCTGTACTATCCCTCATATTAGTATCAGGGTGCTACTAGTTTATTGAATTGCATTTGATGGATTCCTTTGTTATCCATCCCTCTTCTGAAATTTATTCTTCCCTGTGTTCTCTTTATTAAGACTGTCTTCCTTTTCTTTATATAGTATCCCTTCAAATATTTTCTGGAGTAATGGGCTAGTGGTCATGATTTCCCTTGGTTTGTGCTTGTTTTGAAATATATTTCTCTCTCAGTTTGGAAAAGGCTTTGCTAGATATATTTTTACCAACTCCCATTTGCATTTACTAAATTTTAGATCTACTTACATTTTTAAAAAGACATGCCTCATATACTTATTGATCTAGCAGACAAAATAAAAATTACACAGCCCAGGATCAAGCATTCCTAGGTTCAAAGTCAGGATTCCAGAGTTTGTCTCCTTTCCTATTTAACATCTCCGAACTTCAGTTTTATCATTTGTATGATAGTGATAATAATAACTGTTGAGGGTGTTAGCAACTCATCTGTGCTTCACCTTCCTTCCATCTCCTTTACCTTTCCCCCCTATTGTATGTTGACCCTTACTTTTTTTCTGTATAAACCAACAAGTGTCATAGCAGAATCACCTGGCAGTTCTGGTTTACATTTTGAGGAGTACTCACACTGATTCTGATAGTGGCTGGACTTAACTGCATTTCTACCACCAACATGTAGGTATTCCCAGCCCTCCATCTTCTAGCTGTACTTATGATTGCCTGCTTTCTTAGCTGCAGCACTCGGGAAAGTGGACCCTGCCTCTCACCTGGGCAGGACAGTAGAACTGACCCTGTTGGCAGTATGGGAGAGCCAGCGGGCTGACCAACCCTGCAACTACCCAGGCCCAGAATCAGGGTTGTTTGTTGGCCCACCACAACATCCACCCTATTTGTGATCTGCTGGAGCATGGGGGAGGGGGGCTGGGGTCGGTCCTCTGGACCCACGGCTGCAAGATCTCCATGACAGGACAGCAACAGGATGTCCAGGTAGCATCCCAGTGAGGGCCCACGTCCATGGTGTAGCAGTGAACCAGACCAATGATTCTTTGTGATGAATGCCTGCATGTAAAAATGTATGGGTAAAGAGGTTTACTGAATGATTCACTGTGTCACACTGGAGCTTCCATAATGATATTTTTCCCTTTCTCCTTTTTTTTTTAACCTTTCTTCTCTTAAATTATATTTTGTTTTATTTGGGGCAGGGGAAGAGAGGTGGGTGGGATCAGGAGGCATGATGTGAAAGAGACAAAGAATAAATAAAAAGAAAGTTAAAAAGGAAGCAGACAACAAATGACCTCCTTTGCTTTTTGCACAGGTAGCCAGCAGCAGAAGTGTGCTTAGTTTCATGTGGGACAATTTAGTTTTCCCTTTTCAGAAAAACCAAGAGAAGTAACTCAGTGAATACATATCCCGTGTTTAAGGGGACTTAAAAGTGTGTTTCCCCTAAAAGCCACTTAACAGAGAAGTACAGCAACCTCCACACATAGGAACAAACTGACCAAAATCAGCTCCCGGCTCTCAACCATATGCATCACCTGGCAACACCAGCTTCTTCCAGGCATGTCCATGATAAATAACACTGGATTGTATGTCACTGAGGTTTTGTGCTACGGCAATTGATAACTGATACAAATAAAAATAGATTAGGAAGGGAGGAAGGAAAGTCTGATTTGGGGACATGATGAGTTTGAGGTGGAACGTGATGAATTTGAAGTGACCCGTGGTAGTTGGGTATAGAACTGAGTAGCCACACATAGTCTGTGAACCATCAGCAGAAAATAGAAAAGATGGAACTATTTATATAATTACTCAAACCATACATATAGAATGACAAGAAGAAATATGATGACTGAACACTGAGGAAGCCCTATATTTGAAGGAGTTGTTGAAACTGAGAAGTAGTAAGAAATGACTGAGGAGATCCAAAGAAAACTGGTGATATGAAAACTAGGTTTTAACAAGGATGTGTGAGTAAACAATGACTGATGCCCCAGGAAAGCAAAATAGATCCTTTATATTCATTTTACAAGTGAAGAAAGTGAGATTTGGATGGAGTAATTAAGCTTATGTGTGGTCATAGAGATTGATAAAAAGCAGTAAAATTACTGGAACCTAGTCTTTAGGTTACTTAACTCTGGGCTATATAAATTTTACCATACTGTCTTATTTGAAAGAATACTTCTGGTATCTATAAACACATTTTTAAAATGACCAATTATCTCCCTTATGCATAAGATGGTAAATTATATAACTTTAATACCTGAGAATTAGATGAGCAAGTAAGAAATATACAACTCTGAGACCCTTCTGTGATTCTAAAATAAGTGCATATTATACTATTGCATGTCTCCTATTATGAATCATTTTTCCTAAATCTTATAAATGTATTTTTTATATTGTGACTTCTTATGTGCATTATGAATTAAAATAATGACTTTCCTCTCTGCTGAATACAATGAATTAATCATTAATGATATTTATGAAATGTATTACAGATTGAACTTCATGATCTTGAAAAACAAATAGCAGCTATTGCTGCAGAAGCCAAAGAAACAGAGAAGCAAATGCACCAGCAAGATGCTGCCATGGAGAATTCCAGACTTCATTGTGGACTCTTGGAAGCTCAAATTGAGTCCTTATATTCAGAAAGTGTAAAGCTGAAATTTGATACAGAAGCAGCCCAAGAACAATTTGAGGAACAAATGATAAAATATAATGCATATTATGCAAAAATAAAAGCCTATAAAGATAGTTTAGTAGAGACAGAAAGCAAATGCTCATTTATGACTGAACTCTATGAAAAACGAGAGCTCATCAAAAACTTAAAGACAATGAAAGAAGATCTTAGGGAAGATCTCCAAAATCCACAAGGAAGATATGCAACACAAATACAGGTTTGAAGTGTTACTTATCAAACTCTTCTCTGTTGATTGTAAGTATAGATAGTAAATAATAATTAAATTAATCCAATACCTATAGTTCTACATTTAGAAACTGTTTTCACAATTTTTAAAACTTAAGTAAGTACATATAGCAATCAGATATATAAGTTAAATAACAATTTTCCAATGTGCAGAAGCTTAAAGGAGATATAGATTATCTGTGGCTGTGTGTGTGTGTGTGTGTGTGTGTGTGTGTGTGTGTGTGTGTGTGTGTGTAGTCACATATATGTGTATTTATGGTCAAAATCACAGTGAACAATTAATCCATTTACTGCAGAAAGTGTAATTCATGAAAAATGTTCACCCTCTATTCTGATAACTAGACCGAATAAATTCATATGATTAATGCTGTTATGCAAACCAGCGGAATTCATAATTGCACAGTGGGCATCTTTGTATTCCTCCTACTAATCTTTGAAAACCATAGAGGATACAGACTTAAAATATCTACCACTCCTTGCTAGAGAATGAAGAAGTACCCTTTGCACTGTTGTCAGGGAATCATCAACACAGCTACTACTTTCCTTTGTGTCTTATTTTGTTTCCAAATCCAGGTTTGCTTTGTAAATAATGGTTATTTTGTATGGCTATAGAAGTAATGTTTTAATCCTGTTTTCCAAATTTAAATTTTGATTAGGCTAGTTTTCATAAATTATGAAAGCCCTGAAAGTTTTGAATTTATTTTGACCATTGGGTTTTTGACTTGTATATTTTAAATTTTACAAATATCCAGGAAGACATTTCAAAGCTAACGAATAAAATTATGACAATAAAAGATTCAATCATTGAGAAAACATATTTCATTGAAGAAGAGAAAAAGACACATGAAAGACTAAGAAAAGAAATAGAGGTGAGTCTTAATTATTTATATTTAAATATTTCATGAGACTGTGTCTTAAACTTATGCTATATTTGTATTTCTATAACTTACTTTTGATTTTCAAAACAGCCAGAGAACAAGAAAGAACTTGACTAAACATAAGCTATTAAAATATAACAAGAGATAACACTTCTTTCAAGTCTGTGAACGTATTCAAACAAAGCAAGTAGTCACATCAAATATGGTATACACTAGGTATGACACATGCCTATAATCCTTGCACTTGGAAGGGTAGAGTTTGAACCAGCTTGGTCTACAAAGTGATAATATGCCAAAAAAAAATGATATCTGGTTTAGAATTCTCTGGAATTTGTCCAGGTCTCATTCTACCAACCACTTAGTACCTAATTAATGGCTACAAAGCAAAGGCTTAGATGGTCAAAAAGGATGACCATTCTAGATATCAGAATCTTGAAAATAGAGCAAAGAGCCGTAGAAAGCATTACTGCTGTAAACTTCTTGATTTCATATTTGAAGCTCTCAAGAGTCAAGTTTAAAAACAACGAATATCTATACAAAATGAAAATGTGGTTCTTGCCCATCAGTCCAGCATTTAGGATACTAAGGCAGATGGATTGCCATAAATTAGAGTCCAGTCCTGGTTTTAGAGTGAGACTCTGTCTCCAAACCAAAGCAAATAAATAAGGAAAATGAAAGGGAAACTAATTTCTCAATATGCCAGTGCCACCCTAGACAGTTGTCATTTGTATGAATGGAGAACAAGTATGGAAAAGAATGTGCTGTTAATGGCAAATGAAAAATAATTTTCACCTTTAACACAATAATTTGACATGATATGAAAACACCTAAATAATTTTAAGATAAAAAGCCGTTACCTTTATGTATTTTAAGAAAAAAAAAAACACCACGATTTTATCTTATAGTTCAGTAGGAATTCAAATTAGATTAAACCTTTCATTTATAATTGTGCTCTTTTACACATCAATTTTTTAAAGTGTTGTAATGTAGTCTATAAGTGCTGTCAAAGTAGAAAAATGATTAATGAGACAGAGAAAAGCTCTCACAGTCGTTCCTGTGCATGACTGACATAAACAGAATGAGCTAAACCGGGCCAGTGGGATGGTGGTGCGGCAGGTGAGTGTGCTTGCTGCCAAGACTGACAACCTGAATACCATCCCGTGAAGGAAGGACAGACAGACCGTGCTGGTGCAGCTTATCCTCTGACCTCCACACGTGGGCCATCGTGGCATGCACTCCCCCCCACACATGCATCACAGCACACAGCATTACACCATAACCACTCCCCCCCACACACAAATAAATGCGACAACATCGGTTCAACTGTATAGAGGATGCTAAGTTGAATTTCCATCTTATACTACCTATGCTTATACTCTCCTAAGAGCATTCAAGAAATGCAAGAGAAAATTTAACTCTGTATTAAATAAACATTTTTAAAGACAAAAATACCTTCACAAACTCTATGGTTAAATATTTTCACTTCCCTAACACTAGAAAGGACAGACTCAGCTCTTAGACAGATTTGTAAGACATATGAAAGAGGAGAAAAAGTCAAGGACATGTCAACAAAGCAGAAACCCAATGAGTATGTGACATAGAAATAATTAGTTAAGCGTGTGGATCTAAACAACAACAATAAATCAGCAAACAAAAAATAAAAAATCACTTTAACAATTTTCTGTATTTTCTTTTTAAACAATATTGCATTTTTATTTTTAAATTGTCCTACAAATTAGGTTTCCAGTGCGATTTGCATATGCACTTCATTGTGGTTGTTATTCTTTCCCGTCCTCTCCCGTCCCCCACCCTCTTTGTCACTGTATCCTTCATCCCCAGTGTTCCCTTTCACTTTGGGCTCTTGTCTTCCATGCCCTCTATTTAGGGCTCTTTTCTCCAGGCTCTGATTTCCTGCCTTTTACTTACATTTGCTCCAACCTGAGACACAAAATTAGCAGTTAGAGGCGAGGATCTGCATATGAGAGATAAAGTCTGGTCTTTGTCGTTTGGAGCCTGGATTACATCACTTACTATAATGTTTTCCAGTTCTTTACATTTTCACAGAAATTTCATAATTTCACTTTTCTTTTTAACTTAATAAAATTCTATTGTATGTACATACTACATTTACACTATCCATTCATATGTTCTTAGACGTCTATTTCTTTGTTATTATAAAGAAGAATAGTGATAAACATGGCTGTGGAAGAATCTCTGTAATAGGCCCTTGGGCATATGCCCAGGGGTGATATATCTTGGCCATATGGAAGTTCTATTTTTAACACTTTGAGAAGCATCCACACTGGTCTCCATGGTCGCTGTACTAAGTCGCTTTCCTACTAGCAATGAACAAGGGCTCCTCCTCTTCCCACATCCTGTCTAGTATTTGTTTCTTTTCTTGATACCGTTTAACTGGGGTGACACGGAATCTCAGAGTAGTTTCAATTTGCATTTCCATGATGGCTAAGATATTAAACATCTTAAAAATACTTACTGCCATTTGCCGCCTTCTTTTAAAAATGGTTCATTAGCTCACTTGTTGATGGCACATTTTATTTTTGGAATTTCATTTTTACAGTTGTTTATGTTTTGAAGACATCAGTCCTCTGTTGGCAGGATAGGATAGCAAATATTTTCACCCATTCTGAAGCTATCTGTTAAGTTTGCTGTGTAAAACTTTTAAAATTTTATATTGTCCCATTTGTTAATCTTTGGGAATATTTCTTCTGATATTGGGGTCCTAGTCAGAAAGCTCTTGTCTATATGTACTTCTTGAAGTGAAGTGTATTCTCCGTGTTTTCCTTTAGCAAGTTCAGCATTCCCTATTTTAAATTAAGGTCTTTGACCAAGTTTGAATTGATTTTTGTGCAGAATGAGAGATATGGGTCTAATTTCATTCTTCTGAAGGTGACTATCCAGTTTTTCTAGTACCATTTAACAATAAAAATTGATAATTAAAGCTGTAATGGGGTTTATTTAGCTATAAAATTATCAATATTTATAGTTGGAAAGATGAAAAGCACCTTAATTTTAATAATCCTTTATATGACTGCAAATTGCTGAAAACATCTTGTTAAGAAATTTGATATTATGTAATAAGTTCTTATAATAACACGTCCTTAGGTGCCATTGTTAAAGAGAAAGTATGTACATTTTAAATGCTTGGCTTAATTAATTTTCATTAACATCTGCACACATCAGAACCGTCTCTTAATCAAGACATTGAACTTCCTATTCATGTTTAGAAAGTGATTTTGTGTCTCTTTCTCCATGAAATTGGAATTTCTTTAGTGGAATTTTTAAAAAAACTTTATTGATAAATCACTACATGTAATACTATAATTTAGCATTTAAAGCATCAAATCCAAAGAATTTCAGTGTACTTTCTGCCTGGGGTGATCATCACCAAAGTTAATTTTAGACATTTCCGTCACCCTTTTGTTAATTTAATTTTATCTCCTGCTCAAACTGAGTGATTTCTAGTGCTTTTCTTCTTGATTACTTATTTTTATCCATTTTTCTCTCCAGTTATTGAGATCCACTGAGTTTTTCACTTAAGATTTAATCTTTTGGTCTTTGAATTTCCACTTGATTTCTTAAATTTTCTGTTTAAATCCTTTACAAAGTATTTCTTCATCTTCTCATGTTTGTGACTTTCTGTTGCATGTGTATCGTGACTGCTTTGAACTGCTCTTCAGATAACCGTGATGTGGTTACAGAGGTGTTGGTGCATGGTGAAGGTCATTTCTTACTCAGTTTGAGATCTCTGTTCTTGGTATGATAACTAGTTTTCTATTGACACCTGAATGTGTTGCCTTATAGGTTTTAAGACCCAGATCATAATTACTTCCAGGCAGCAGCTTAAGTTCATATCTTCCTGGTAGTCTCTGTCAACATCCATTGGAGAGAGAAGAGTTTCTTTTCGCTGTGAACCAGGTGTGAGTGTTCTGGCTGGCCCTCCAGACCTCTGCTACTAGCACCTCATCCTGCACTCGACAGGTGCCTTACCATTCCACACACACCCTCTGCTCTATACATTGCTGTGTTAGCCCTGAGTACTGGTGAGGGCCCAGTACTGGTGAAGGCCCAGCTTTACTAGGCTTCCTCTGCTTTTACTACAACTTGATGAGAGTAGCGTCTTCATGGGCTCCACTGATTCCAAAAAACTTAGCTTGTTATTACTTAGAAGGCAACACAGCTCAGGACTGCCCAGTTAGCCCACTGAAACCACCCAGCAGCTGGATTGGAGAACTTCAATATTGCTAGCAATGATATAATATGGGATTGGTTTAGTGACTCCTCATGTGTGGGTGGTGGAGAGCCACATCTTTTTTTGTGGTATTCATTTTGAGGAGAAGAGTTACTATCTGAGAGTGTTCTGTCTTGAGAGGCTGCCATTTTCTTCATTATCTGTTGAGAAAGAGGCGGTTTCCCTGGAGACTTTTCCCTTTGAGTATTTATCGACACTTCTGGATGGCTGTCTTCTCAAGAACCCTCTCTGGAGTATATAAGAGAAATGGAAATGCATGTCATTCCTAGGGCCTGAATGCTCTACCTGTATTTCTTTCTTCTCTCCACTTTTTCAGAGGCTTCTGATATTCGTTTTATGTTCAATATTTAGGGTTCTTAGTCACACAGGAAGAACCAGCAAATGAAGACGTTTCTATTTTGCCAGAAACAGTACGGAAAATTGGTACTTTAAATGCTAAAGAATAAGAGGCCATTAATGCTAGATTTTGAGGAATTATCCCTAACATCTTCCATTGTTAAATTTTTTCATCATAAAGTTTCTTGCTCTGAAATTTAATAACTTTTAAGCTTAATAGGACTAGCTGTATTTTGAGCTTTTCAGTTGTAGTTTTATTGCTTCTAATATGTTAAAAAGTAATCCTTAACTTTGTCACAATATCATATTCATAAATTTAAGTTAAAATTTTCCACAATAATTATTAAAATGAAAAACAAATACATTTTTGAAAACAATTGTTCTT